TCTGGAGATATTCAAGGCCTGTCTGGATGCCTACCTGGGCAGCCTGCTCTAGGGAATGTGCTTTGGTGGGAGGGGTTGGACCTGATAATCTTTTGAGGTCCCTTCCAACCTCTAAAATTCTGTGATTCTGTAATTCTGTGAAATCAGTTAACACTGAAATATCTGGCTTTGATACTTCTTCCAAGATAAGCAGTAATTCAGAAACTGAATACCAGTTCAAAATCCAATTTGTAACTCTGAGAACAAAGAGCAGTACTTTGCAATTTTTCTTATTTCCTTCCTTTCAGAGGAAAGCTCTCTGCTTTTGAAGATATGCTGGTCCAGATGCGCAGTCTGTTGACCTATCTGGATGCTTTTTATGAATTAATAGATAAAGGTAAGGGAAAAAAAACAACAACAACAACAAAAAAACCTATATTACAGAAAGTTACAGCTCAGTCTCTGTAAAATAGACCAAAAAGCAGTTGGAATTTTTCAAGCATGTGAAGTTTGCCTAATGTAGATAGTTTTACAACTGTTCTATAAATTACGCTGCAGCCTCTTACAGCCTCCTGTTTTTGAAGGGAAACAAAATTATATCTATATAATATGCTCTTACTCATATGTCATTTCTCATTCACACACACTAGAGGTTTCATTATTCAAAAATTTAATTTACATGTTCTACTACTAGTTTTTATATGTAAATGAAAGACTTTTAAAAGACAGCTAGGCATTGTTCATTTTTATTTCAATCACTCATTACATATAATTTGATTTTTTGTACCTAGACATAATAAACTGTAACTTTCCAAAACATGTTTTCATTGACTTTCACCATTGTCAAAGAAATAGTTGCTTGAGAGGTTTTGTAACCATTCAGAATTACAACTGCTTGTAATCTCAAATGTCACAAATAACTTTAAAGGAAATTGAGGGATAAGACTATCCCTGCTTGTGACATTATTCTCCTTCTTTAAGGTTTTACCTTAAATCTCTGGGCTTTCAGGTACCTGTAAATTTTGGAGAAGATTTAAATAGATTGTGGGAAATTTAAGTTCATTACTCTTTTTCTAAAAATGTTGTGCAGTCAATTAGCTGAAGTGGAACTCCTTGTGGATTGATGTTGACTGCTTTCTTTTCCCCTATGCACAAATGCCAAGAGATATGGTTAGGTGTGCCTAGCAAGAAATACGGAAAAGTTGGGAACTTTTCTTTTTCTTTACTTAAGAGATTCATGTTTTCATTCAAAAGATTTTGCATAAACTCCTACCAATTGTTGACTAATTTCAGTATTATTGATTCAAGCTAAAATGTTGGAAGATCTCTTTTGCAAATCACATGGTACATTATTTGTTGACATATAAAGTTTATTACCATTAGATAAAAATGTTTTGTTTTGCTTTGTTTTGTGTTTGTCTTTTAACCATTTCAGCATTACTATTAAAATTGAGAAATGACTATGATAGGAATATATAGCTGAGGGCTACATGAGTAAAGCCAATGATTAATACAAGGGTTTTGATCTTATGAATCATTGTATTTAATTTGCAAAATGTTTGTATGTGTTTTTCAATTCAATTCTTCAGTGTAATTTTATTTTGCTGAACATAAGGTTATTCTGTAGTATAAAAATCTATTTTCTGGAATTTCCAAACGGCTCTTCTAAAATGATCTAAAATTTTTAACAGCCAAATGTTTTATTTCCCTTTTTGTATCAAATTTCTAGTTTTCTTGTCACAGATCCTCTATCTATGATAAGTCAAATATTTACAAACAATATTTTTAAAAAGATCTTTATGCAAGCAAGACCTATAAAAACAACTTCCACTGACGTAGGGGATTTTTCTGCACTGTCTTTCATATATCAGGCCTGTATGTCCTATTTTCCACTTTTTCCACTTTTCCATTTTCCATTTTAAGGTAAGACAAATTTATTTTATATCTTATCTTATCTTATCTTATCTTATCTTATCTTATCTTATCTTATCTTATCTTATCGTAGAGCACTACTGTACTACCAAAACCAGCAGGATTGTCACAGCACTACAAACTACTTTTTATCCTGCTGGGATGGTTCAGCACTTATCATGTTACTTAAGTGAACCTATTATTGGGAATAGGCTAAAATTAGAATTACTGTAAATGAACTTGGGATCACAATAGTAGATAATAATCAGTTTATTTTTACCTGATACTATATATACTTGTATTATATACATTTGATATGGTAAAATTGTATATATATTAGATATGGTAAAATTGATACAATTTTAAATAAAATAAAATAATAATAATAAAAAAGCAACACTTAATCAGCAAAAACTTGGAACATAATTTGGAGGGAACTTTAACCCCACTATACTCCATAGAATATTTGGATTTAACAGATGTATTCATATTTGTACCTGTATTGTATGTCCTTTATGTTCAACAGATAAGTCATCAAATTAATTATTTTTTTCAATCTAACTGAAGCCCGTCAAAGTCAAATTCTCTATCACTGTGTGGGAGGCAAGTACACGTAAAGTTTAAGATATTTTCTGTACAATCTTGTATTTGGAGAGTCTTTGTACACCTCAGATGAGAAATGGTATGTGTGGATGGTGCATATTTACTTAACAGTGCCTTTAGTTGACAGTTATTAAAATACTTCTGCAGCCATCATAGTGTACCTGAAACAAACAAGTAAACAAACAAATAAACAAACAAAAACACACACAAAAAGAATCAATGCTGAACTCAGGTGAAGTCCTAGCTGCAGGCACCATTTCTCCACACCTTCTCTTCTTTCTTCCTTTTCTTTTTAAAGAAAACAGTAACAGGATCAGGATTGCACAACTGAAGTCAGTGCTTATCCCATGATGGTAGTTTCAAGGGCAACAAGTCACTCTGTCTCTCTACTTCCACCCTTGGGTACGCAGGACTTCCCTGAAATCCCGTCCCATGTGTGAACCTTCAAGGTTTTTGAGATGCATGACTTATTAACTCCTTGTCAACTTCTTGTTAACTCCTTGTGTGTTTGGTACTGGAGGCTTGCCTTCCTGTGACTATTATCCCAGTGAGCAATGAAACACACAACTTCAGTGACATAATTCTTCATAATTGTTATGTTGTAAGCTGTAAGCATAACATATATTAGAACAGTTTCATAGAGATGTTCATTAAAATAAATAAAAAGAAAAAATATCTTAATGTTTCACTGAAAGCTTCTGCGAAGTGTTAGAATTGCACCCCAAAGCCTTGTTGCATCATAGCTGAAACTATGGTGACAGTTTCTTTCTTAGTAATATTAGTCTAGTGCTCCCTAAACTCTGAGCAGCATACTAAATCAGATCTGATTAAATCGGGTTCCCTTGATAGAGCAGAAGATTGCTTAAACCTTTCTAATTTGTGACCTATGGTTGTGCTCAGTTAAATGTGATATTAAGGTCAAGGTCTAACATAAAGTCACAGAGTACACCACAAATTCATTACTACATTTTAATTCATGTAGTGACACATCTGAGAACATGCTCCTTTACCTTTGACCTGCAGTTGTAAAGGAAATCCATCTGTTCTTACTAGGTTATGCAAGCCCCTGGAGAATAGATTGCCAGGATTGTTAAAGATATAGAAGGTCACAATAAGGAGACTTCTGTATAAATGTTGTATCCTTCATATTCTCTTTCACAATGAGTATTGGCAAAAATCAGTAAATAAGGGCCACAGTCAGCAATGTCTCATGAGACCTTTCGGAGCAGAGGACGCACAACGCCAGGAAGGGGGGATGGGGGAGGGATATTTATAATGCCTACTCCACTTCAGGTGTCTTGCTTAGGTACAATTAAGAGGGCCATATCAGGCACCTAAATGTCTTCAGTAGTCAACCAACAGGAACCAACAAGGCAGAGATTCACCATTAGAGTTAGATGCTGAGAAGGCAGAGCAAATATTGGCTTTGTTCTGACACAAAATTTACATGAACAGCATATAATGGGCATCAAAATATACAAGGAAAAAAAAAAACAAACAGTCTGAAGAAGAAAATACTAAATTATTCTGATTAGAAATTATTTTATAATACGTCTGTTCCCAACCAGGTCATTTTTATTTTTATTTTTTTATATACAAACCTTTCATGTGATTCATTCTCTATATGTTTTTTTTTGTTGTTTTGTTTTGTTTTGTTTTTGTTTTCCCCATTGGTAAAAGAGAGTTTATTGTTTTGTTTGTTGTAACAATTCATACGGTACAAATGTTATATATGTGGTTGTATCTTGTTCTTTAGCACTGTCAACTGCCTGTCAATCTTCATATTTACAAAAAAGAAAAAACACAAACCATTCCACTATGCTGGCTGTGACAGCACTGTAATGTCAGAGGACCGAGAGACAGGTGATGGTTTATGATAGAAATAAATCTTTTACGAGAGCAAACTTGGGAGAATTGCATGCTTTTGTAGGGGTTATATCTCTGCACAGCTATCACTGACAGTCTTCTCAAATGCCTCAGCTTGATAAGGAAGGCTTTCTATCGTGTCTAGTCATGTTCTGAGTCATCAAACAAGAAAAAAAGAAGAATGTATGTGCTCTTTGTATACAATAGGTAATACATAAGATAGTATGTATCAAAATATAAGTATGCTTGCATTTATGTGTATTTGAAGAGATATTCATTATATGTATGTTCATTAAATGGTCCTTAAATTGACTTTCACATTTTATAGTACAATTCTGAGTGCTACACAGCATGCAAGAGTGGTTTGGTTTATTGCATTCTGAAATGAAAATAATAATAATAATAATAATAATAATAATAATAATAATAATAATAATAATAATAATAATAATAATAATAATAAAAGCTTTTTCAGAAAAGATTTTAATTTATACATGAGGGCATGGATTTTAACTGTAATTTCTGATATGCAGAGAGATGCTGCATTTTCCATATCTTTGCAATGTTTCAAATATTCTGCCTGTAACTAAGTTGCGGAATCATTGAGTTCAAAAAGACATTTTTTTTTTTTTTCTTTTTAGTTTTAATATGTATGAAAGAGTCTTTCACTTCCAGAAATAAGCATAAACAGAAAGCCAAACATCCTACAGATAGGCAAAATCATCTGAAGGATTTTATTATGTGCTCTTCATATAACAGTGGCCTCTGAACCCTGCCCTCTGAAGCTTCCATTTTTACAGGTAAGCTATTCCAGTTCTGTCATGTTACCCCTATAAAAATAATTGATAAGAATCATTTAAACCTCAGAAATCTCCGGTTTTATTCATGAGAAATCTGTTATGTATGAAAAATTTTGTTCTAAAAACCTACAATATCATAACAAACTAGAAAGCAGAGCTGCCATTCTAGTATTCCCTCAACTAATTGTCTAACTTTCATAGCACTTTTGTCATTTTTTAATTAGCTTTACCACACATTAAGTTATAGTTGCAAACCCCACCCAGTTTTCATCTCTTTAAAATGGCAGTCACGGAAGTTAATATGAGTGCTTCAGAGGTTTTTCTCTTACAGTTATGTCATTTTTTCCTGATTCATATTGCTTTTCCCTACATGAGCAGTAGGATTACTGCTTGATGAAATTAGCTATGTCTATACCAGAGATCTATGGCTAAGGGTCAGTTTAGTCATGAAAAGGGAAGACAGTAAGGGTAACAGTGTCTATTTATAGTGAGGTAGGCAAATTCTTTCTCAATAGCTTCTGTTTATCCACTGGGGTTCATAGGTTGACAGGCCCAGATGCAGGGCTATGCAGTTGAAGGAAACAGAATAGATGTGGTGCTTTTTTTGATAAAAAGTCTAATTCCACATCTAGTGTGAAGATCTACAAAACCTACAGAAATGTCTGGTGGTCCTGACCAGCTGCATGATGCAATTGTTAGGTTGCTTCAGCAGACCAACAGAGATTAAAGTTGCACATGGTACTCATTTTCTTCTGATGATGTGAACCTGGAGTGTAAGAAAATAGGTAATGCACCTAAGACAGACACATGGAAAGGATCCCAGTCTGACCCTGTGCACTCAAACTTGGTTTCCATTTAATTCCATTTATCAGTCCAGTAAAGTAAAGTATATTATTCCACTCTATTTTGTCAAATAATCCCCATTAGTAAAATTGTTAGGCTCTGTTTTGTTAGCAAAGTGGCACAGTCATGCTTTCTGTCCATTGTGTTTTGCCTCCAACCTCAAATTTTTGCTTTTTGTACAAGCATTTATTTTCAGAGACCTATTTCTGTCTCATTTTTTTCACAACAGTTGTGATTGTTAACAACAGATTCAGATGAAGAAGGAGAAGGAAGGGGATTCTTCAACCCAAACAAATCCCCTATTCCACTATTTTTTAACATCCTGTTTGTTTGCGTGTGGATTTTCACTTTCTTTTTCTTTTTTTTTTTTTACTTTTTTTTTTACTTTTTTTTTTTTTTTTAGATTTTCTCAATCCATCTGTTGAGTAGCACACAGGGTCTCTTCCCAAAACTCCCACTCTAAGAATCCTGTGAGATGCCAAAGCATAGGATCTGCTAATTTGAAGGACAGACCTTGCTTGCTCTGTCGTCAGTTCACTCCTCACAAGCGTTGCCCTCCCGAGTGCAAATGTAGACAGTGGACTAACAAGCAAGACAACAGACACTGTTCCAATTAGCAGTAGTCAAAGTTTTGGGGAGTTACCCAAGTGGTTCAGATGTTGTCCACGCAACTAAAACTTTTGAGGAAACCCACAACAATGCCTATGACCATATCCCCACAAGTACATATCATTCTCCCTACAGCTTTCATGGTCACCCCGTTCCTTACTTTTCCTACCTTCTCTTTTGATGGAGAGCCTGCATATTTCTGTTAATTACCTGTGGTCTCCTCTATCTCCCTCTGTCCCCATTTGGAGATGGATTTCTAGTAATGTTTCTCTATGTTTTGTAGGCTGTAAATTTGAACAGAGTATATGTTTCTCTCACATTAACATTGCTGTAGTATATTAATTTATTTAAACAAGCCTGAGATTGCCATGACATCCCTTGAAGAGAGGCTGAAGACAGATTTTTTTTTTTCTAGGTTATTGACTTGATCACAGGGAAAGCAGTTTTTTTTCCAAACATAAGCAAGGTCTGCTTGTTGAACAATCGGAAGTTTGACCAGTGGCAGGGTTTAGTCTTAGACATATTAGTGAATGTTTAAAAAATGTCTGGATGTCACAAAAATTAAGTCTGTATAGATATTATTTCTCCAAACCAAAAATGAAGTTTTTCTAAATGTCCATTTTTCATTTGAATTGCTTTAGACTGAGATACAAAAGAGAATAAATTAAGGAAACAAAATTGAATCAGTGTTTATTTATTGACTTATTGTTGAAAACAACGCATACTACTCCCTGAATTTTCATGAGTGAAGACAACTACTACGAATTTCTCAACAGTTAGGAAGAGTTTTACTTGTAAAATAACAGTGTTTGTAGTTGGTTATATAGGTATTAATCTCTGAGTGTATTTATATATATATATATAAATTTTATCAGAATGATACATCCAGACCTCTCCTCTATGTCATCCCCTTTCCTTTGTAAGGACATAAAACTAAAAATTAGATTAAGAGCTAGAAAAAAAAAAAAAAAAAAAAAAAAAAAAAAAATTACTGGTTAATTGCAATTTCACAACAAAAATAATAACAAAAAGTACATCACTGAAAAGTAGTAATTTTATTTTATTATTAAGCTTTATTTAATGACAGTAAAACAAAACTGTGAAGAAGTCTTACAACAGTACATTCCAGAGGGTGTATGCATTTTGAAACTATGAGAATTGGACAGGAGTTATTTTTTTTTGGTAGAGAACTTGAGGGAAGGATGTTTTTAAATACTGGGAAACAAAAGCCATTCCTGTAGGGAAATACAGAGGGCAATTTCAATAAGGTTTGTACAAACTAGAAAAAAGCTTACAAAACATGACACATTTCTAAGAAATACAAGATCTTTGAATATAAATGTGCATCAAAATCTGGAAAAAAATCTTGTAGAATTATTTTTATATATGTAATGTTTAAATATTTTTCTTTTTATGTTACATTGAACCTTTGGAAAGACAAATTTTCCTTTGAGTAGTGCTGGAAGAAATGACTTTTTGATCTTTGTTCTTCTCCTGACTTCTCACTAACTCTACCCTCCCTCACTTAGACTGCTCTACTAGTCTGTTGCTCTTGTCCAAAGGCTTGGTCCTGTCCCCAGGGGGTGTTTTCATACATCAAGGAACACTGGAGAACTAGGGTGATCTGTTCAAATGACCTCTTCTTTAATTGTGCCCCCTGCTCATACAAATTAACACAGCTGTACTGTCTCCAAAACCAAGTCAATGCTAAACTTATCAGAAGACTGTGTTTTAAATCTACAGAATATATTAGTGTCTAAATTAGTGGGGCAGATGAGATTTACCTACTAGAAAATCTGTCAAGGATTATTCACTTTTTTTCTCATAAAATACGCAACATGGATGGAAATCAATATAGTCTACAGACAGAAGAACCATTCCAGTTACTTGATTTGTGTTTTATATATCAAGTATAAAATGAAGGATTGTAAAGGAGTGAGGATGTGCAGGTTAAAGAGATGCATTCATTTGGAAAAACAAATAAGTATTATGTTAGCTAGTGACATGTAAAAATACTTGAGAAGGAATCAGGAAATGGAAAACAGTTAAGTGATAAAGTGATCCATGTGGTTTGTTGCTCTTGGGCATGTATTTTTTTTTTTTTTTTAATTAATTTGATTTTAAGTTATTAGGAAGCCTAATTGGAAACCAAAGATAGAATAAGCTTTTTAAGTAAAGGTAGTTTTGTGAATAATTTGAAAAAAAAAGAGAGGGCTAGGGCATAAAAATTGCCTGAGTGAGGAATTTGGTGGTGAACAGAGTAGATGAAGTACAAAGGGAATAGCAGAAGGAGACAAAAGAAACGGAGGATATCCATAAGAGGATGCTGAGGGAGTTAGTGGGTGTGATAGCTGAGCCACTTTCCAGTATCTATCAGTGGTCATGGTCATCCAGAGAGGTTCTGGATGACTGGAGACCTGTTAATGTAATATCCATCTATAAAAACAGGCATAAGGATGACCTGGAGAAGTGTAACCCTATCAGCCTGCCCTCAGTGCCAGGAAAGTTGATGGAACAGGTCATCTTGAATGCTATTGCACAGAATATGCAGGACAATTGGGGGATCAGGCCCAGTCAGCATGGGTTCATGAAAGGCAAGTCCTGCATGACCAACTCCATCTCCTTCCATGACTGGGTAACCTGCCTGGTAGATGAGGGAAAGGCTGTTGACGGAGTCTGCTTAGACTTCATCAAGGCCTTTGACATGGTCTCCCATAGTATTCTCCTGGACCGGATGCTGTACTCCAAGATGGGCCTCACAAGGGCAGAGTAGAGGGAGACAATCATCTCCCTCCACCTTCTGGCCACTCCTTTGTTGATTCAGCCCTGGATGCAGTTGGCTTTCTGGGTTACAAGTACACACTGCTGGCTCATGTCGAGCTTTTCATCCACCAGCCTGGGGGTGGACAAGTGATGGGGAGGGGACATCGCCAGGGCAGCTGACCTAAACCAACCAAAGAGATATTCCATAGCACCTGTCACACTCAGCAATAAAAAGGGGGGCTCTTGTGGGGGAGGGGGCCATCTTCCTGAACAACACTACATGTTTTAAGGCTCTGCTTTCCAGGACGTGGCTGAAAATCGCTCGTTGATAGGAAGTAGAGAATAACTTTTTTTTTTTTTTTTCCTTTCTCTCTGTGCTTCCGCATGGCTTTTTTTTTTTTTTTTCCCCCATTCCCTTTCCCTTTAATTAAATTATTCTCATCTCAAACCTCAAGCTCTTTGCGTCGTATTTTCTCACCCTTCCTCTTTGAGGAGGGAGGAGTTAGAGGGCGGTTTTGGTGGAGCTCAGCTGCCCACTCAAGTAAAACCACCAAATCATAACAGGCCACCATATTGGTCTGGCATGATTTACCCTTGGTGAAGCCATGCTGGCTGTCTTAGATCACCTCTTTGTCTTGCATAGGTCTTGATATTGCTTCCAGGAGAATCTGTTCCATGATCTTGCCAGGCACAGAATTGAGGCTCACAGGTCTGTATTTCCCCAGTTCCTCCTTTCTGTCCTTTTTAAAAATGTGAATGATTGCTGCTTCCAGTGATTGCTGCTT